CCTCATTTTTAAAATAAAATAACAAAGAAAAATGCGTGGTTCATCCAATGAAAACATTAACCATTGCAAAACACCTAGGCCTACTAATCTCATGGTGGCTGCCATCTTGTTTACTGACGCGTGGAACATCAAAAAATACGCGTGGAGTTTGCTGACAGGAACCAGAAGTTGCCTGAGATTTCTAACAGAGGTGGTGATAAGTGCTGGTAGCTTCTGAGATTTTATATACGTTTAATGGTTTCCAGATAAGGAGAACAATGCACAGTAAGGACACAAAGTTTGAGGTTCATAGAAAAGCTTTTCTAAGAATATTAACAAGCACTTCTCACAGAAGAGAAAGTTGTGTACAAGTTTATGGAACAAAAAACACTGTGTAAGCGTTGCCGGATTCGGCAACTTTGCGCCAAATTTGGCTACCCTTTTTTTAGTTTGGCGTAAACAATTTAATTTGGCGCATTGACTACTTTTTTGGGCTACATAAATTTGATTTGGCTACATTTTTAGCTACATATTATTTATAAATATATTATTTGAATTAAAATGCACTTCAAAATGGTGTTTCGTCGTTTTTTTATTAAGTAGAGACCCAAATAAAACAAATATTTGTGTTTTTCAAATAAACTTTTGTTTGTCTCCTTTATAATAAATGACTTTATCTATTTCTAAGTAAAAATTGAAATTGTCTGTAGAAGTAATTTTTTTTAAATATCCTTTTTCATGATAAAGTTTTAATACTTATATCTATAATCTAGACATGTTATCCTTAAATAATAAAAGTAGAAAAATAATTTTAATTTTCCTACAGTTATTTAATTTGAAAGTTGACTGAGATTTCTTTATTAAACTAATATGTGCATTTTGGATATATTAGTACCCTTCATCAATTTGGTTTTGATTTTTAAAAGTGTTTTAAGTGATTTTAACTTTTTCCGTCCTGTGGGTACTTTCTTCTTTATCCTCTCCTTTTTTCATGTTTATATGGGGTCGGCGTTTCCTTCTCTAATACGTTTCTTCCATTTCTCCCTATAAACGGCTTTTTCTCTCTTAAGTCCCCTCTGGTTCGAGTCTTCTTCCCCCTTATGTTTCCAACACATCTTTGGCCTTCCACTTTTCCTCTTTTCTTTTACTATCAGTTTTCCGATCTTCTTTCCAACATAATCGTTACTTCTTCGCTCTACGTGGCCAAACCACCCTAACCTGCATTCTTGCATCTTTTGCTCAAGGGGCACACCTTAACAGAACCTCTAATAAAATCATTTCTTATTTTATCCTTCCTTGACACTCCACACATCCATCTCAACATTCTCATCTCCGCCACCTCCATCTTTCTTTTTTGGGCCTTTCTTATTGTCCATGTCTCCACTCCACATAACATTTCAGGTCTAAAAACTGATTTATAGAACAATTTTCCTTTCAGATTGCAGCTAACTTTTTGTCCCATAACACACCGCTAAGCTTTATCCAGTCATCCGTCCAAATTGAATTCTATGCTGCACCTCCGAGTTAAATCCTCCTCCTATCTCGACAAATGTCCCAAGATATTAAAAACTCGGAACCAAAGGGAGCGGCACATTTTGGATTTTAATATTTCTCTACTATTCAGAATCATATAAGCTATTTTAGTTCTGCTAATCTTCATGCCGCTTTCTTCCAAAACTTTCCTCTAATCTTCCAGTTTCTTCTCAGCCTTGATTAGAGAAAATTCACACAGCACAATATCATCCGCATACAGCATACTCTACGGAGCCTTACACTTCACTTCGCACACCATCACGTCCATCATCGGATCAAACAAATAACCGCTAAGGGCCGATCCCTGATGTAAACCATTATTAATTAACGAAGAACCCTTCTGTAGCGCCCACACTGTTCTTAATTAACTTAACTTGAGTCTCTGCTTCCTCGTACATTTCCTTGACGAGCCTAATATATTTTTCTGGAACATTCTTTTCCCTCAAACATCTCCGTACCTCTTGCCTTGATACCCTATCATACGCCTTTTCCAGATCTATGAACACCATGTACAAATCTTCCTGCATTTCCTCGTATCTTTCCATCAGCTGTTTTAGAGCAAAGATAGCATCAGTCGTACTCCTTCCCGGCAAAAGCCAAACTGTTCCTCTCCAATCTCAGATTCCTGATTAATCCTTCTTTCTACAATTTTCTCCTAAATGTTTATAGTATGAGACAATAACTTTATACCTCTGTAATTTTCGCAATTATGTACATTTTCTTTTCTTTCTAATTCTTTACCTTTAAAGATTGGCACCATAATGCTCTTCCTACATTTATCTGGGATCTTCTTCTGCTGCCAGAATTTCTTCATAAGGTCCCAGAAGATATTAATTCCTGTTTTACTCAAATCTCTTCAAGCCTCAACCGGAATCCGATCAGTGCCTACTGCTTTTCCCATTTTCATTTTCCTAAGCACATTTTCCACTTCTCTGCTAAATCTGTCACCACTCCTTCATTTGCTTCTTCATTCTCATATAAAGTTCCGGGGTTTTCTTCATTCAATAAATTTCTAACATATTCTTTACGTCTTTCCTTGACCCTTTCGTAGTTCTTGTAATACCACTCATTTATCATCTTTAATCAATTTAAGAGGTAAAATCTTTTGATGCCTTATCTGTTGCTTTAGCAATTCTTGTTAACTGCCTTTCACCACCTATCCTTTCAAAAAGTTTATAAACCTCTTAAAACGCCATTGCTTTCGCAATAGCCACCGCCTTTTTAGTCATTTTATTTTCCAAATGATTAGTTTCTTTATCTTCCGGCCTTCCCATCAAATCCCACCTTTTCTTTGCCTTTTTTTTTTTGTTTAACTGCGGCTTATACAGTACATCAGCATTCCACCACCAGAATTCCTTTCCTTCTGGCGATCTCTTCCTGAAGTTTTTCCAAATCCTCATCGCCAAGTTTCAAAATGCGATTACGATACTATTCAGCCACCATTTTTTCACATCATCCAAAAACTGGATTTCTTTTAACTTTTTCAATTTCTACCATTTCATCCTTTGTTCAATCTGTTGTTGCTGTTGGTTAAGTTACGGCAACGCAACACTTATGGCGATTTGCCTAGAGGGATGCCTACCGGAAAGTCTTTTTAAGGAAAACTGGCCCGTGGAATTTGCTTGGTTTTCTCCACGTCTGTAACGCGTAAATACGCGTTACAGACGTGGAGAAAACCAACCAAACTCCACTCGGCCATCCTGTCCGAGCGAGGCGCAAACCCACCACCGGATTCCCAGTGCTCAGGGTACAAAGACCGTTCTGCCACTGATTGGCATTTTACTTGTGACTGTGTAATTAGGCAAAAGTAATCATATGGCAAATTATTCTGATTTTCTATGATAAAACAAACGGTTCAATGTTTAATCTTTGGAATAAATGCATGAATCCTGCATCTTTGTCTACATGATTGATTGTCTGAGACACCTTAAGTAGCTCCGTTATTTCATCATGAGTAATTTGGCAAGGAGCAAGAAGAAATCCAGTAGGAAAAATCGTACTGTATTACTTCTAATCAAGCCATAACACTCAACATTATCGCACTTAGTCAAAATCACGCAAAATCTTTGACAGATCGACTAGTTACAGTGACATAGCGTAGTGGGGGAGGCAGGGGCGGCCCTCCGAGGGCGACACTTTTCAGGGGGCGGCAAAATTTCACAATAAATAATAATATCTTGTAAAAATTTGAACCATTTGATTTCATATTTCCGTCCCATCTACGATTCGGACCGACTGAAATGAGCACAGAATAGTGTTACCATTTGGACAGTCCGGGAATCGACTCGCCGTCCGGGAATTATTAATTTTACCCGGGGGATATCGTGCGCAACCTGTTGACCTTTTTTTTTCGCTTGTACGATTCATTCGTATTCATATACACCTCCAATATCCAGTCATCTAGATACTTTACTCCTACCCAACTCTCCCTAGTCGCTAACTGTAGCTGATTTAAAATCGGCCTGCACTGCATGTTATTCTTCGCATTGCAAAATGACATACGCATACGTCAGGAACTTCTGTTCGAAAAAATATCACCTGCTATCCGGGTCAGCGATTTTAAAAAAATGGCAAAACTAGCACGGAATTTTTGATTAATTATTCTGTGACGAAACTGAATTTTAGTCTTTTAAATTGAGATACCTAAATAAGGGGGCAGTAAAATGTTCCTCTGCCCCGAGCAGCTGATACCCACGCTACGCCACTGACTAGCTAGCACACGTGTAGACAGAAACGTCATACAAAACAAGACAGAAGAGAGAGAAACCACCAAACCTATTTAGTACAACGAGCGTTCTTAATTGAAACCGCCAAATTGAAGCCAAATTCAAAACTCCACCAATCAACGAGAGGTAGTAGGGGTAGAGGGTAATAGATCTCCTATTACCCTCTACCCTTAAGCAAGGATTTCTTACGATTTCTTAATAATAAGAAATCCTTGATTCCCCAAAATACCTTACAACATTTAGAGACGGTCCCTTAGGCCACGTGTTGCACACGTGTTCTGAAAACTCACGTTCAGCTATAACGGCCCAGAGCGAATAGTTAAAATTTCGTTAATGTTGTGTAGTAGCTACCTGGGCCTTAATTAATTAATTAATCTGTGCGCTTGAGAGGGATTGGCCAGAATGGCAGTATTGCTTGAACACTTTCTGTGAGGCCACACGTGAAGAGCACATCGAATGCATTTAAGGTCAGTAAGGAACTGCAAATATTCCTCTTTCAATTTGTCACAACCTGTATAAAAGACACTTTATAAATTGAAAACCATTAAAAATATTATTTGTGAAATTTGTATAAATTTACATAAATTCGCTTTATTTTCTTTTTGTGATTACGAAAGAAATATTGTTGATTTATATTTTTAAAATATTGTTTTAGTTTATGAATTAACAAGAAACATTTACAGAGCATTTATTTTGAATTTGTAGGTATATATTTATTTATTTTTAATGATTTTTACATTGAAATGATTGAACTTTCGAACGTAGAGGATTGTGTTTTCATGCTTATGTGGTGTTTATAACAATTAATGAAACGTACTAGACAAGTCTTTCTGGGTTTATTCGGCCACTGTTTGGTAAAAATTGTTAAATAGGACTCAGCAAAGTTGCTAAATAATAAGCAAAAAATATTATTTGACATAAGTTACATCATACTAAAAATTCGATTATTCAATTGGACTATACTTGTAAACAGTCGACACTGGAGACTATTAAAGTAAGTTGCATGTAAAATGAATTTAATTTTCTTTTCTGCCAATATTAATAATTTTAATGACGTTGTACAAACACACCAGTTCAGTTAATTTGCATAAATTTGTGCTTAAAAGTCAATTAACCAGTGTACGGTTCTTTTTAACGTCTTCAAAAATTCTTTAATATTACACCAATTTTGTTCAATACACAAGCAACATAATTAACTGACTTCTGAACCATTCTGTCTTTTATACTAACACGTGTGTGTACTGTATGGGTCCTTATAGAGATCCTATATGAAATGTTTCATAATCCGAATTTCTCGCTTGTCAGATAAATTAGACTTATGCTCACACCAGGGCCCTATTTCATAAATTTACAAATCTACAAGACTTGTAATAATTGCAGCATGTTAACGGATTATAAGGAACTTTATCAAATCTGCTTATCTTGTTATATTTTGTAAATAAAAATTACAAATATAATTTCTAAATTAGGAAGGTATCCTTCCTAATTTAGAAATTAGGAAAAATAAAATTTGGAAAAATATTAATAATTTCCATTATTTAATTTTCCAAAATCTCGTGTTCCAACTCTGGATTTTAATCTACACATCGTACAATATTAATATTTTCCTGTGTATTCATGCAAAATTTATGATTCATCACGTTATTTTCATTGAAAACGTTCACTTCTATTGATTCACGGAGATATATTCTTAATTACAGCATAAATATTTTAGAAAATAGTCATTTTTATAATGGATGAACCAGAAAACAAGTGTGAATTAGTGTGTAAAAGCCGTTCGAAGAAATATTTGAATGTTGCCTACGTATACGACATAATGATACGTATATTGAAAACTTTGGATAATTCCGAAATAAAAAATTGCATGAAAGTTTGCTCATTGTGGAAGGAAATAGGAGAATCCATANGCATTCTGTGAAAACGGGTAAGGTTGACTGTAACGTAATAATCTTTATCTTAGTTATCGTTACTTTTGCCCAAGCAACGCCGGGCCCACCTGCTAGTTCCATATATTTACAAATGTACAAGACGTAATAATTGCAGCATGTTAATTGATTATAAGGAACTGCTTGCAACAGCTGCAAGCAACAGGGCATAGGCCATAAATAAGAATGATTTCTAAATTAGGAAGGATACCCCAATAATAAAATATTAATACTTTCCATTATTTAATTTTCCAAAATGTGGTGTTCCAACTCTGGATTTTAATCTACACATCGTACAATATTAATATTTTCCTGTGTAGTCATGCAAAATTTATGATTCATCACGTTATTTTCATTGATCAAGTTCACTTCTATTGATTCACGGAGATATATTCTTAATTACAGCATAAATATTTTAGAAAATAGTCATTTTGATAATGGATGAACCAGAAAACAAGTGTGAATTAATGTGTAAAAGCCGTTCGAAGAAAAATTTGAATGTTGCCTACGTATACGATATAATAATACGTATATTAAAAACTATGGATAATTCCGAAATAAAGAATTGCATGAAAGTTTGCTCATTCTGGAAGGAAATAGGAGAATCCATACTGAGAGGAAGGATAACGATTGCAGTTGAGGTGAGTTATACTTTAAGATAAGAATAAACAGTAAAACCTGTGTAAAACGTGAAAAAATAGGTTCAGTGCGATTACACAGGTTTACACAGGTTTTACTGTATTCGATTTTGTAATATTTATAATAAGTAACATATACTCATGCAGTTGAAGTGTTCGTGCAACATTAAGTTTAGCTTTACCAACATTTGCGATTATGTGCATACTTTTATTTTCATATAGAATCAAATACATTAGTTTAGTATAGAAAGTAGTGTGCGTTTCCTTCTCGTTTCCATCTCGTCGCGAAAGGTAGCAACGCAAAGAGACGTGATTGGACGATAAATTGTTCAATTAATTTTTAATTTTTGTAATGGCATAGCCATGTTTTTAATCTTCTGTTCGAAATAAACTTTCGTATTACTAAATCTGTGGCGAAATTTTTAGTGACTTTCGAGTGATGTGGTAAAGAAATCTGTAACAAGTCAATTTCTGTCCTAAGGATGTAAAGGAGAAAGAGAGAATGCAAGTTCTACTATTTCTAGAATCAAGTTATTATTATTTTGTACTTAAGCAAATATTTTTAACTGACTGCTCATTACCTGGTTCCTGATTCTTAAGCTAATACTTCGTGGAATAGCGTTATAACGAAGTGCGGACCTTTAAAAATGTTTATCAAACTGAATTTTCTGTAAGGAAGAATGCATTTTAAATGTTTAAACGGTTAAATATAAAGTCTACATATGAACATAAGATGTCAGGTGTTACTTATATCATTCATTTCCTAATGGTCATGAAAAACTCCCACTAGAAATTGCGCACATAGTAACTATAAGAAGTTGAAATTTTTGCGTGTTTATCTTTGTGCAGCAATATAAAAAAATTGGTGCACACGGAGAAATGGAGATGGGCTACCATTTGAAAAAACTGTAGACCTATAAATTACCACTGTTGCCTGACTGTCCTTCCTTAATCTAGAAAATGGAGTTTGATAGATGAACGTCGAAAATACATGTGGAAAGATTAGAGGCAGGAGGGCCCGAATATATTTGAATAAAAACAGATCAGGTTGTTTTAATTGAAAAATTTCCCATGAAAGATGTTACATATATGACCAACATGACGGTATTGCTAGCAGAAAAAGTATGATATATATAGGGGCAAGACACTTGTTTGAGGTGAAGAGCATATAATTCAAATTAAATAAATTAATACAGATAACTAGAACGTAACGATTTATTTTGTTTATATCAGTATCCATTTTTTTTCTGAATAAAGTTCGTTGACAAAAACCATTTTTATTTCATTTATTTTCCTTTACAAATATTAATAAATATTTGTAAAGCGAAAAGCAATTAGAAAACGAGAGCATTAAAGCCTTTTTTGTACTGTACATTGGCCTCTTTGGTTCATATATCAATACAGTTGACGTGAAAATTGCTGTATTTAGGCCTATATAGTTTTCTGTGAAGGTTCTTCGTGTGTGCGTTTTTTTTATAGAACACTTACCCTGTGGTCTAAGTGAAGAATAACGTAAATAGTAAAATTTAAAAACTCATAAGCAGCCGTCCTTATGACCGTGTTTGTGACAAATTATGGTTCTTGTTGAAGTTAGTACACCTCTTTTTAGAAAACCTGCAACTCGTTAGGTTCTTCAGAGCTCGCCCTCTTTCTTGGCTACGATTGTTAACCAAGTTGGAAGGGTAATCTTGAAGAGGGAAAGAAATTTACACGTTGTAATGAATACAAGTAATGCTAGTTATAAATATATTCGTACAATTGGAAAATTCGTTTTGTCGTTTCGTATGGAAGCTGGGTCAAAAAAATGTAAAAGTTCGTTATTACGAGATTCGTCGTAGCGAAATCCATTGTATTTGGTTCCAGAGAAAGTAGAACTAGAAACTGAACCGGAAATGATGGAGCAATACTTGTAAAGCCGCTGGAAGTCGCCTTAAGCCATTTATATCTTGAACGAAAATAGTTCTGCTTAGCTGCTTTGCAGTTTGTAAACAATGTTTTTATGTAAATCACTTAGAAATTGTGTAAAATTTTATAATTATGTAATATCGATGCGGATGATGCGTTGTCCCGTGTGAAAAACTGTGGCAGCCATCTTGAAGTTTCTGTTCGGAACTTCCAAACTTTGCTCCATTACTGCTGCAGCTAATAACTTGTTATGGACATTCAGATGTTTGTAGAGACATTGCTCTCTCAAGACCATCCATGAGCAATCAATAGAATTTCTCGCTCTTGCAGATATCTGAAACTCTTCTTTTATTGCTTTCGGAAATTTTTGTGTCATAATTAATTAAAAGTCACATTTGGAGGAAAGTTTTATGAAAACTTCAATTCTGTACTTCAAAATCGAACTCTTATAAAAGAACTAATGAAATTTGAATGAAAAATTTACAATTAAATATCTTCTAAAGGTGATTTTAATTCAATTTAAAGTCGAAGTTTTCTTATATTTTTCTTCTAAAGTTTGACGATAGCTTTTGCCTTTAAAACTCATTAGAGTTTTCTCCAATTGTTGATTTAGTGATAATACTACTAATCTTTAGGATTTGGTCGTGAATTCTCACTTCAGCAAGGGACTAGCCACTACTTAACTGAGTATAGTGTTTATAAAGTTTCCATTATTAAAAATACAGGGCGACCAGAAAGTCAGTTAACAATTGCAAAGTCCAAATTTTTATTTTATATAAATGCTTTTATTGTTTACAAATTTTAAATAATTGTTCAAATTAATATATATAAATTGTTCAATACACGAACTACAAATGCAATATACAGTGGAACCTTGGTATACGACCTTATTCCGTTCTCGATGTTTGGACTTATACCGAATTGGACGTATACCAAACCAACCTTTCCCATAAGGAGTAATGTAAAAATGATTAATCCGTTCTCGTGTAAAAAAAATGGCTGGCTTTAAACACCTCGCTTTCCTGGCTAGTTCCTGCTTGATTTTTCGTAAGATCAGCGTGTATCTTTTTAGCTTTCTCGCAAATAATTGCTTCCGATACGCTGTCTCCAGCAATGTTTTTCAGTTATCTAAAGCAAAAGCAATTTCTCGACATGATCTAATGTCTTCGATGTCTGTTTAGAAATTGATTTAATTCCTTTCGCAACGTTAGCAAATTTTATAATGTCTTTATTTTTCGCGATTGTCCATATCGTGGTTCTCGGAATACGGTAAGCAACAGTTAAAATCTCGAACACGCGTGTCACCTTCGTATTTTTCAACAATTTAGTTCACCTGTGAACTAAATAAAGAACATTATTTTTGAACTGTAAGACTAAATATCTGCATCCATAATTTTCAGTATAATAAGTCCTGTTAATACATAGAAAGTACTAGTATACAAAATAAATTATAAATAGATAAAAAAAGGAAAAAAAAGGCATAATAATTTTCAACAATCTCTTTTATCAGTTCCATTGTAATTCTAGTCATTTTTTTAGTTTCCTGTCGCTTTTCATTTGTCTTTTTGCGATTCGTGATTAATAAAAATAATAAAATTTTACTTACGAATTAAAATCAGAAAAAATTTAACAAAGTTATAAACCGTTGCACCGTGAACGTCTAGTCTGATCTAGTACACGGATAAGTGCTACTTGTTCATTGATGGCGCGTATAATTGAATTATGTCGTATACCGGACAAAAGTCGTACACCGAGCAAAATTTGTTTCGTCCAAACAGGACGTATTCCGAATTGGACGTATTTTAAAGCAGACGTATACCGAGGTACCACTGTATTGTGTATATTCACGTGTATACCTGGAATTTACAAAGTAAAACGCGGTTAACTGACTTTTGGGTTACCCTGAACTGCGTTTGAATCTGTATAAACTCTTAAGTGAAATATTTGTTTGTTTTTCATATATAGGCCTTACCACGTGATATAATTGCAATCACGAACTTTTATCCAGAATATGTTGTTCGCTACTTCAAAACACAAAATGGCAACGTTAACATCTTGACAGGATATGATGCACATTCGGAAGAAAACATGGAAAGAAGCGATAAAACTAAGACAATACGACTTTTATTGCAGTTGGATGCTCAATGTCGTAAGTATCTTATTAAAACATTAACAAAATGCCCACCAGTGTTTAATTGTGGCATATTATTGATGTTTTAATTGAATGCGAGTCGTGGGTTTGTGTGTCACCAGTGGCTAAATACCTGGAATATTTCGGTTTTTCACGTGTATAATACCCATATAGGGGCCAGTTTGTATAGAATGTTCTTCCCGGAAGGCATTTTGCGAAGAACATTTTATTTGTATTGTTGTAGATTGGATGAATTTATAAGGTTCGTGGCAAGATTCTGTCAAGCCTCTTTTCCACTATTTCGAGAGAATACGTTTTGAAAGATGGATCAAACTGCCAAATCACATTTAGTAACCACACGTGTATTTGCAAATTTTTTGTTATTAATTCAGGTATCCTGAATGAGGGCGGGTCCTAGAATAATTACGAAGAATTATGACACACATTGTTTGCATTGAAGTCTTTTCAGAGGCAGTGTATGAATATTTTCTGGCTTGGCTCTATTTTTACCGTAAAGAATAACTATAATCATATGTTAGAAGGTTGCATGTATGTGTTTTTCAGCATTTATTCGTAAGTTTCATTTGAAAATATTACATTATTCGTATGGCAATTAAATAAAACAAACAAACAAACAAAATAATGGGCATCATCTATTACAATATACAAAATAATAATTTATATCAACATAACTTTTGCAAAGTAATTAGAATTACTTCAATTATAATAGATAATGAATTTCATTTGTTAGAAAGAAGTGCTCGTATGTTTAAGAAACATCGCTCTAACTTTAGGATAAATCCAAGCAGCACTAACCTTAGCCTCGCTTCTCTGTGGTTGAAACATTAGTGCCTGTCCTCGCTGACTGACGATTCTCTCGATTGAATATTCAACTGAATAAGGGCCTGCTTGCTTACAATGGTACTGACTCTAACGTCTAATGCTTGACACATTCTTTCTTCCAGAAACTTTTGACTAGGGCAAGACGAAGCCGGTTATCTACTGGTATTTTCCGCAAATTCTTCAATACTGTTGTGTTTACGTAAAGCTTGCATGATTAGTTCAATTTGTCCAAAAATGTAACTTGTCACTATGTCGCCTCAGTTCTCTTTAATTTATCAGTAACACTGCAATCGAGAACAAACACTTCATTCATAGTCAAAATATCTGCAAATCATTCTGTTGACTTTGGAAAAACTCTGTATTCATGGACATCCTTTTATACGATTAATTCATTAATGGAATAAAATAACTAACACTTAGCAGGCGATCTGCCAAGAGATGATACCTCTTGAGAGGACTTTCTATGGAAAACTGGTTTCTATTTAGATGTTACACACTTGAAGGGAAGTTCGAAAACTTCACGTAGCCAGTCCGTTGGACGGGAACGAACTGCAATCTAAAATATTTTAGACTTCTATCACAATGGTAGGTGGATAGAATCATTAAGCCACTGGTGAGTATGTAAGAGAAGTTTAAAGAATTTAATATGAAAACGTAACGTTTTGCAGGTAACAATAATCATATAAAGGAACGGCGATATTCTCAAAGGCTCATTAAACTTCATTCAAGTCCGTCAAGAAAACTGTTACCAATATGGATCGCTGTTTTTCCTCAACTTCCCGGACTGAAAATAAGTCGTTTCTTGTTTTCAAAAGATGAAATCAAAGAGAAGCTGAAACCTGGTCCCACGTGGTTTACAGAATTGACAGACATTTCTAAAGAAGAAACGAAATGCGTCCTGTGGATTGTAGATGAAGAACTGGACAACACCTTCAAGAAGGTTATACCACAATGCGCAGTAAGCGGGATATCAGATATTAGTTTAGGTCGAACATACAGATGCATCGTGTTTTCGGGGAGGATGGTACACGCATTATCATTTAAGCTGCCTATAGATTATAGATTACAACAAATGAAAATTGCAGAATTGAAGCAATTCAACATTGCATGGAACAATTGTATTGTGTTATATTTCAACAAATACTTTATGAATTGGTGCAACGATCGATCAAACTTTCCCGAAATTGAGATTTTTAGTAAAGAATTTCCGAACATTCCAATTTTGTTTTATAGAAGTTGCATATCTTTCGGTGTGGAACACATCCCGAATATTTGTGAAAACACAAGTACTATAGAAGAATGTACAAAAGATGCATCAGTTCTTGCAAAAATTGTTTTATTGTGGATTGCATGACTTGTAATTTAGTTGTTAAATGCAAGTTTAAGTTACTTTGTTTGAAAAAGATGTGTGCCCCATATATCATTTTTAACTTTTATTCAAATCATTCTGTGTATTTATTGAAGATGAATTGACATTAAAACTGTATAAAATACGAATGTAATTAAAATTTAAATATGACTTAATAAACTAATTTTTAATCAACAATTTTGTTAATGTTTTTTCTCTCTTCACTCTAGTGTCTAGCAGTTGCTAAAAACAACTAAACATTACTTCTCGAGTGTTCGTACCTGAAAACTCGCTGGTCGCCTGACTTTTTTGGGTATTTTTTATGTGTGTAATCCAAATAGGAACCAGGTTCCTGTTGAAAATCTTTCCAAGAGACTCCCATGTGTTGCGATGTCATATTCCATAGAACGAAATATGACTGCTGTGCGAACACTAAGAGGATTTCTTATAGTAAGACCATTATGATTTCAACCAGGCCCACAGTGGAGTGGCTGGGTGTTGAGGGACAGGGCGACATATTCGGATCGACCACTCCTGAAAAATTCCTGAATTTTTGACCAGTCCGGATCTGATTCCAGGTCCCAAAGCAGCAGACTGCCAGCGGCGGGGAAGATCTAAATTTGCTGTGGGCAAGGTACATTCCGCGAGGCCCTCTAGTGGCGCAAGAAGACGGATTTTATAAAATAAAAAGCAGTTGAAACTGTCAAATTTTTATTCCTAAAAATGCAAACTATATTCTTTAACTAACATTAAAAAAAATTAAAGAAACAGAAATTTTCTGCTTTTAGCCTTACTGAAATCCTTAATACGGTACAGCGTCGTTTATCCGAAGGTCGGTTATCCGAAGGAATTTTAGTCGACAAATTTAAATTTTCGCCAGTGCTGTGGCGCTGTAATCTTTGGTTATGTCTTTGGCTACTCAAATATTTTACGTTTTTGATATAAATCAACTTCTGAAGTATAATTTTTTATTGTTTTTATATTTTTCAATATATTTATTTTGTTTGTACAAAAGAAAAAATAATTTTTAACGATACAATAGTCTTCGTTATGCTTAACATCGACGAAAATTCAACGTGAAGCGACACGCAACGGAGAAAAATTTCAACACGGGATAAATTAATATATTTTTTCGTACATAATTGGTTATCCGAAAAATAAGTTATCCGAACAACCTAAGTCCCCAATTGATTCGGATAAACGACGCTGTACTGTAATTGTATCGTAATTCAGCTTATATGCTATATATGCTTCAATATATATATATATAAAAGTGCCAAAGCTGAAAGTCTTTCCTGACCCATTGTATTTCTTAAATAATCTTTTATTAGTTTTAATTTTGAAAAGCTGAGGCAGTACTTACCGGTATTGTTAACAAAATTCGAAGGGCAATGTAAATATTGGGTAAATTTCTTTCAAGTTATTTTCTATTATGTATTGGAGCAGCTGTTTCACATCTTTAATGAAGTTGGGTAAATTTGGGATCATTGTTTGTAATTCTTCATATAATTCGTAAGATTGTAAGTCACTGCTCTCACTCACTCGCAGGACTGAGTGTAAGTCTTGACAGTTTTTTAATATTTGCTCTTTTGGAATATTTTTTTAACTTTCTTAGATTATAGAAAAAACAAAAATTTTCAAAATGTTCATTTAATGACATAAATCCCGAATCCATATTGCTTATTATAGAATCAATCATGGTGTTAAAAAAATCTGTTTCATACCTGCTTTTGGGAAACTGTATAGGTTTATCGCTGCCTTCATCATCGAATATCCTTTTCTTTTTGGCTACCATTTCGTTTTTGAAGTCTTTTAAGATTCGCGCACGTGCTTTATTAATATATCAGTCATGGTTCAATTTGTTTATTATTTTTATTTTTTGCATTTTTACGTTTAACGATTCAAAAGGCTGTTTACTACTAGGAAATCACGCAAGAAACTTTGACAGATCGACTAGCTAGCACAGGTGTAAATAGAAACGTCATACAAAATAACAGAAAACAGAGAGAAACCACCAAACGGATTTAGTACATGGAGCGTTCTTAATTGAAACCGCCAAATTGAAGCCAAATTCAAAACTCCACCAATCAACGAAATCAAAAAATAAAAATAAAAATATTACATAAGAAGAGATCTATTACCCTCTACCCCTAAGCAAGGATTTTTTACGATTTGTTAGTACAGTCGACCCCCCTATAAGATATAGATACGTCCCATTATTTAGGAATCCGATTTCTTACGAGTCGTTCCAATCACAGCCCGACACGTGTCAAGTTTACGGACTACGGCTGATTGAAAGGTTTTCTTCCATAAAATTAATCGATTCTAGACTAATCCAACTCAACATTTCCAAAATACGTATATTTTTTTTGGAAATAATCCGTATAAACTACGCTATAAACAAAAAATTGTAGGATTACTTACCGAATGTCGCCATTCGACATCGCCATTGCTCAACATTGTTTTCGTCGCGGAACAGCTCAGCAAACTGGGGCCGATTTCTAATAACTTATTTTTCTTCGAATAGTTCCTTGAACTTCGGAGACATCATTAATATAAATAATTTTAATCGCCGTTGAATAAGAAATGTTTCTTTCACAAGAAATGTATAAAATTACAGTACTGTATTAGACTTACGGTACCTAATTTACATACTCTACAGACGATAGTTAGCGTAAAAATCTCTGTAGCGTGGCGCCACGCTAAAGGCGGAAATTATATATTTAATTATAACAAAGTTACAATAAGTTAATATATAATTATATATACAGTACCTAATTTATATATAATTAATATATAATTATATGTACAGTACCGAATTTATATATAATTTATATAATACTATCCAGACGATAAAAATCTATCCGTAGCGTGGCGCTACGGACGGCGGGAAAGTAGTTAGGCTGCCTGATGACGTTTGAGGTAATTATAGGGAATTTTTCTGTTTTTTACGGATACCGGTCACAATTTTTTCGTTGTTTTATAGGAATCGTAATTATAGGGACCGTAATTATAGGGGGGTCGACTGTAATAAAAAATCCTTGATCCCCAAAATACCTTACGTAATTTATGGACGGTCCCTTAGGCCACGTGTTAGACACGTGTTCTGAAAACTTATGTCAGGGCGCTTCAGCTATACCGGCCCCGAGCGAATAGTTAAAATTTCGTTGGTAAACTTGTTGTGTAGTTAGTTGGCTGTAGCTACCTGGGCCTTAATCTGTGCGCTTGAGAGGGATTGGCCAGAATGGCAGTATTGGCTGAACATCGTCTGTGGTGCCACACGTGAACAGCACATTTATTTCATTTAATGTCAGTAAGGAGCTGCAAATATTCCTCTTTCAATTTGTCACAACCTGTATAAAAATATTTTATAAATTAAAAATCATTAAAAATATTATTTGTGAAATTTGTATAAATTTACATAAATTCGCTTTTTTTGTGATTACGAAAGAAAAATTGTTGATTTACATTTTAAAAATATTGTTTTAGTTTATGAATTAACAAGAAACATTTACAGAGCATTTATTTTGAGAATGTTGTTATATATTTATTTATTTTTAATGATTTTTACATTGAAATGATTGACCTTTCGAACGTAGGGAATTGTCTTTACATGCTTATGTGGTGTATATAACAATTAATGAATTTCTGGGTATATTCGGCCACTGTTTTTGGTAAAAACTGTTAAATATAACTTAGCAAAAATATTATTTGACATAAGTTACGTCATACTAAAAATTCGATTACATTCAATTGGACTATACTTGTAAACAGTCGACACTGGAGACTATTAAAGTAAGTTGCTTGTAAAATGAATTTAATTTTCTTTTCTGCCAATTTTAATATTCTTAATGACGTTGTACAAACACACTAGTTCAGTTAATTTGCATAAATTTGTGCTTAAAAGTCAATTAACCAGTGTACGGTTCTTTTTAACGTCTTCAAAAATTCTTTAATATTACACCATTTTTGTTCAATACACAAGCAACATGATTAACTGACTTATGAACCATTCTGTCTTTTATACTAACACGTGTATGTACTGTATGGGTCCTTATAGAGATCCTATATGAAATATTTCATAATCCGAATTTCTCGCTTGTCAGATAAATTAGACTTATGCTCACACCAGGGCCCTATTTCATAAATTTACAAATCTACAAGACTTGTAATAATTGCAGCATGTTAACGGATTATAAGGAACTTTATCAAATCTGCTTATCTTGTTATATTTTGTAATTTGAAAAGCTTGCAACAGCTGCAAGCAACAGGGCAAAGGCCATAAATAAAAATGATTTCTAAATTAGGAAGGTATCCTTCCTAATTTAGAAATTAGGAAAAATAAAATTTGGAAAAATATTAATAATTTCCATTATTGAATTTTCCAAAATCTCGTGTTCCAACTCTGGATTTTAATCTACACATCGTACAATATTAATATTTTCCTGTGTATTCATGCAAAATTTATGATTCATCACGTTATTTTCATTGAAAACGTTCACTTCTATTGATTCACGGAGATATATTCTTAATTACAGCATAAATATTTTAGAAAATAGTCATTTTTATAATGGATGAACCAGAAAACAAGTGTGAATTAGTGTGTAAAAGCCGTTCGAAGAAATATTTGAATGTTGCCTACGTATACGACATAATGATACGTATATTGAAAACTTTGGATAATTCCGAAATAAAAAATTGCATGAAAGTTTGCTCATTGTGGAAGGAAATAGGAGAATCCATACTGAGAGGAAGAATAACGATTGCAGTTGAGGTGAGTTATACTTTAAGATAAGAATAAACAGCAAAACCTGTGTAAAATGTGAAAAAAAATAGATTCGGTGCGATTCCGGTTTACACAGGTTTTACTGTACTTTTTGATATTGTAATATTTATAATAAGCAACATATACTCATGCAGTTGAAGTGTTCGTACAATAGTAAGTTTAGCTTTGCCAACATTTTCGATTACGTGTATATTTTTAGTTTCATACGGAACAATTACATTAGTTTAGTATAGAAAGTAGTGTGCGTTTCCTTCTCGTTTCCATCTCGTCGCAAAAGGTAGCAACGCAAAGAAACGTGATTGGACGATAAATCGTTCAATTAATTTTGAAATTTTGTAATGGCATAGGCATGTTTTTAACCTTCTGTTCGAATTAAACTTTCATATTAGTAAATCTG